ATTGCGCATGAGGGTGTTGGCAAAACGGGTGCAGTGAGGAGGCAGCGCAGGCGTGACCCACCAACAGAACAGCAGCACTAACATCACTGGAATGTGACCTTGGATTACCAGTGGCTTCCGAGTGATTCATAGTGACGCTGTCTGGTCCCATGGTGGTGGTATTGTATATATTGAGGGTATCGTAGGTATTGTAATCACTGGATGTATCGTAGGTATAGTAAATATCGTAGGCGTTGATGTAGGTATTGTATATATTGGGGGTATCGGAGGTGCTTATGTAAGTATTGTAATTATTGGATGTATCGTAGGCGCTGAGGTAGGTATTGTAAATATTGAAGATATCGTCGGAGTTACTAATTGCATCTATCGTTGTGAGTGATGGAGGTATTGTAAGTAATGTTCATAAAAGAGAGGTTTTTCTTCAAGGCAGCACTGCAGCTATTGCAAGTGGTGTGATGATGGAGTTAGGGGTATCGTTGGTGGTGGGAGGAGGTATCGTTGGTGGTGGGAGGGGGTATCGTTGGTGGTGGGAGGAGGTATCGTTGGTGGTGGGAGGGGGTATCGTTGGTGGGTGGAGGTATCGTTCGTGGTGGTGGGGAAGGTATCGTTAGTGGTAGGGGAGGGTATCGTAGTTGGAGATAACACTTTCACTGGCACCACAAGGTCAAACCGGGAATCCAGGAAGACACACAACACGTGAACCATAAATAATGGCAAAAAAGTTAAATACAGTGTAACGAAGACTGACTACTTATGTCGTTAATGACGCAAGGAAAATAATTACCGTCACCTACCATACGTTCAACCATTCCACCCCTCTCCCCCCATCTCCTCTTGTTACCTCGTTGCCTCGCCATAAAACTCCCTAGTTCCAGTAAGCCAATTGGCAGTAATTAAGGTTGAACAAGGCCTCCGTCAACCTTCCTCCCTGACAGCCTTGAACTTGTCCTTGGTTCACCATTACCATCACCGGTAGCCCAAGTTGCACGGGTATGTTACAAAAAATTTTCATGAGCTGCCTTAATGAGTGAGTGTAGCGTCTTAAACAAACACTGTCTCTTAAGGAGTTATGAGGTAAAGTCTCCTATCCATGACGTACAGGAGAGACAAACACTCGAGGCGAAACGAAACGCTCAACACTTCAACCTAAACTAAACAAAACAAAACAAAACAAACCTAAACAGCAAGTTTGTGCACCTTGCATGTCTCTTTGACAGTTCACGAGCGTGAGTATAATCCACTTTTGTACGAGGTAGAGTCGCCTATATACGCTTATTGAGTTTTCTGTATAATGCATCTATTAATTCTGGCTTCATATAGTACAACTAACATTGACAATGAAGCAGCGAGCGTAAAAAGACCTTTATAGGACAGGATTACCGCCCTAAAACGAACAACAGGCGATATGGCAACACTGTCTAGACGCAGTGTGACGCGGTTGCCAAGTATGTGAGTTGTGCGTGGCCAGAAATCTCCACAAAATATCAAAATGTTTAGCTCAGTCTCTCTTGACCTGTGAGACAACGTTTCTTACCTTCAGCGGGAGAATGGTGAAAGACACACCTACACTAGTAATGACATGACCAGCCTGCCTGCTGTACACAGGCAGTCAGAACGATGCTCTTGGCGAGGACTTCCGAGGCAAACTCGACCGCTTCCAGCCAGCGTCCTTGAACTCCCGGCATTTTTGCAAGAATCATTAAGTTTCGTGTGTGTCTGCCACAGTCCCCGGAAATCCGCTGTCTGGCGCCGTAGTCTAGAAAACTCGGTGTCTGCCTGGCCTCAACCACCACACAATTACGGTGTAACAGGTGTGTTGTGCCCTCATTATCGGCCAGGTACGATCACGATAATTATTCAGTGTACCCAAGAGAGGTCGAGGTGCGGGTCCAGTCAACGGCACGAGCCTCGCCTCACTACCCTCCTCTACCAGTCCCCCCTCACAACCACTACCTTCACCCCTCACAACCACTACCTTCACCCCTCACAACCACTATCTTCACCCCTCACAACCTCCTTCACCCCTCACAACCTCCATAACCACTATCTTCACCCCTCACAACCTCCATAACAACCACTACAATTCTCACAACCCATAACAACAATAAATCCACTTCACCTTTCTACCCTCACAACCCCTCACAACCACTACCTTCACCCCTCACAACCACTATCTTCACCCCTCACAACCTCCATAACAACCACTATCTTCACCCCTCACAACCTCCATAACAACCACCCTACCTTCACCCTCACCAACTCCATAACAACCACTACCTTTCACCCCTACACCTAACCTCCACTCTCAACAACCACTTTTCACCCTCACAACCTCCTTAACAACCACTACCTTCACCCCTCACAACTCCATAACAACCACTACCTTCACCAACCTCACAACCACTATCTTCACCCTCACAACCTCCCAACAACTTCACCCCTCACAACCTCCATAACACCAACTACCTTCACCCCTCACAACCCCCATAACAACCACTACCTTCACCCCTCACAACCTCCATATAACAACCACTACCTTCACCCCTCACAACCCATCCACTAACAACCTCCATAACCACCTTCACCCTCACAACCTCCATAACAACCACTACCTCACCCTCACAACCATCACCACCTCACCTCCCTATATTCTCACAACCTCCATAACTCCTTTCACCCTCACAACCTCCATAACAACCACTACCTTCAACCCTCACAACTCCATAACAACCACTACCTTCACCCCTCACAACCTCCATAACAACTACACCCATCACAACCATAACAACCATACCTTCACCCTCACAACCTCCATAACAACCACTACCTTCACCCCTCACAACCTCCATAACAACCACTACCTTCACCCCCTCACAACCTGGCACACCACACCTTCCCAACCCTCACAACCCCACACACCACAACCTTCCCCTCTCACCACACTACCCCACTCTCCTCCCCACCACCACCAATACCTCTCCACCACCACCACCACCACTCCTCTCCCTCACCACCACCACCACCACCACTCTCTCCCACCACCACCACCTCTCCTCCACCACCACCACTCACCTCCTCACTCACCACCACCACCACCACCTCTCCTCACCACCACCACTACCTCCACCCACCACACTACCATCCTCATCTCTTCCTCTCACATCGACCTCTCCTCCTCTCCTTCTCTTGTGGCTCTGGGGGGACATCCTCTGTTGGCAATGTACCCTGTCACGATTCTCCACCACCCTCACACCAACTCATGCCATCCTCATACCACCCGTCACATCAATCCCTCATACCACCCCCTCTGAGTTCCTTTTTCCCTCACTTGCCCACAGGTTTCCCTATCTCCCTCACTTGCCCACCTCAGTTTTACTCATTTCTCTCACTTGCCCACTGTCTATTTTGCTACCAAGTCTGGCTACTTTTATCAGCTTGGTTGGCTAGTATATAGGAGATGTTGGCTACTTTAATATCCTGCTGGCTATTTTCACAGAAAAGTTGGCAATTTTTCAACTTGACGGCTATTTGACGCTGGCTACTTTTATCACCTGATTGGCTATTTTTACCAAAGGGGTTAAATATTTTGTAAGAGTGACGGGGTATTTTACTGAAGATATTGGCTAGTTTATTAAAAACTAGCTGCTTTAATGAGATAACTGACTACTTTTCGAAAGTTTGGATGTTGTTCATGATAGTTTTCCGACTTTTAAACTCAGTGTGGCTACTTTTCAAGCTAGAAGGGCTATTTTTTAAGTTAATTTAGTTACTTCCAGGGTAGTATAACTATTTTTTAAGTTAATTTAGGCGTTTTAGGACTGGTTTGGCAAATAAAAGGAGAGAGTTTTCAAGCTATTTATCGTATTATTTTGGCTATTTTCTACACTAATTAGTTTATTTTTAAGATGATTTGGCTATTTTACAGCAACTTTGGCTATTTTCAGGCTAGCTCATTATTTTTTCAATCAATACTGGCTATTTTTTACCTAATTTGGCTATTTGATCGGAAAGGAAGCTGTCTTATGCTCATCTGCCAATCATTTCTCGATTACATATTCAACCTCTTCAATACGATGGCGAATGTGCGCATGCCAGACGACAGAAAGTCAATACCGGGTCTAACTTCCTGCGCGTGAGAGGGAAAGGGGAGGAGGAGGGGGAGGAGGAGGAGGAGGGAAGGGTTTAGGAGGAGGATGGGGGTGAGGAGGAGGGGGGGAGCGCAACAACCTGTCTGCCACAGCATTTGCCGACACTTGGAGCCGCGATGCGAGGTAAGGTTACTCTCTCTCTCTGTATTAGTTTACACCACAGCGGCCCTCTCCTCCCCTCTCCTCTCCCCTCACCCCCTAACCTCCCCTCTCCCCCCCCTACCTCGTTTTATCTTTCTGTATCCACTGAACGATGTATTTATCAGTAAATTGGCGGAGCTTTTGTCACCTGGACCCAATTTCCCCCTCCCCACCACCCCATCCCCTCCCCACCACCCCCATCCCCTCCCCACGCTAGTTCTGATGGTTCTACTGTACCTTCACTGGTTCTACTGTACCCTCACTGGTTCTACTGTACCCTCACATCCTCTCATCTACACGTTATATTTAGTTTCTTTCTTCCAGCACACCTGAATCAGTGCCAAAGTTAAAGTCAATAACAAAGACAGTGTAAATATCTAGTGAATGTTTGTATCGATTTCAATATCAAAGTCAATGTCGACAAGGACCACGCCAGTATCAATTAGTAAAGTGGTGCATTAGACAGCTCAATGTTCCACTTTCTGACTTGACTGAAAGGGTTATTACTTGTGCATGGTTGAATCAAGTGCGCCTCTGACCACCTAATTAACCCGAAGTCAACCCATATTAAATTATTTGTTGAATTATTTCGTGTTCTTTACAACTCATTCATAAGTATCACCCTCAAGACACATCTATAAAACTCCCTCAGTCCAAGTTAAATTATGACTCGTTTATCTGTGTTAAAATAAGTTATGGAGGTTATTTTACCTTGACAGAGCCAGCTGGCGTCCTGGCCCGGCTGACCAACAAGCACACCAACCTGTAACAGAAACACAACTCTTATACGACCCGTCATATATTTATGGCTTTTTATCTAGGTTAAATTTTTGTATTAATATAAAAGCTTAGTCTCTCTCTCTCTCTCTCTCTCTCTCTCTCTCTCTCTCTCTATATATATATAACCACAGTGGATTAAGTTTCCAGTGGCGTCAGCTTTCTACTTGTTTGAATCACCAATAGTGGTGACAGCCTCCCAGGTGGTGGTGGCAGCCCCAGGTGGTGACAGCCTCAGGTGGTGGTGACAGCCTCCCAGGTGGTGGTGACAGCTCCCCCAGGTGTGGTAGTGACAGCCCCCAGGTGGTGGTGGTGACAGCCTCCCAGGTGGTGGTGGTGACAGCCTCCCAGGTGGTAGTGGTGGTGACAGCCTCCCCAGTGGCAGCCCCAGGTGGTGGCGGTGTCAGCCTCCCCAGGTGTGGTGGCAACAGCCTCCCCAGGTGGTGGTGACAGCCTCCCCAGGTGGTGGACAGTGTCCCCAGGTGTGGTGGCACAGCCTCCCCAGGTGTGGTGGTGACAGCCTCCCCAGGTGTGGTGGTGACAGCCTCCCCAGGTGTGTAGCTCCCAGGTGTGGTGGTGACACCTTCCAGGTGTGGTGGTGACAGCCTCCCCAGGTGTGGTGGTAACAGCCTCCCCAGGGTGGTGGTAAAGCTCCCCAGGTGTGGTGGACAGCCTCCCAGGTGTGGTGGTGACAGCCTCAGGTGTGGTGGTGAATTCAGTTTACAGGGGTCGCTTGCTGGGGACAAAAGTTGGCGAGGGAGGAGAGTTCCCTGCCTGCCTCCCTCCACCACATTCGTCCTCTCTTTATTCCTCCATCACCCCCCCTCTCCCCTAGTTCCCCAACCAGCATTCCCCTATTCTTATCTCATATTCCTCACTAACCTTCTTCTTCCTCTTCCTCCTCCGTTACTACCCCTCCTCTTCCCTTCTTCCTCTTCGCCATTCTCCTTTTCTCCACCACCCTTGTCCTTCCCCACCTCCATTCCACTCCTGTTCATCCTCCACTAACACCACCTCCACCCCCTTTCACCACAACCTTCCTCCCCAACATCCAACGCCACTTCCACCCTCTACCAATCACCCCCCGCCTCCTCCCTCACGCCACGAAGCAGGGTACGAGTCTTGAGCGGCGTCTAACTACTAACCACCATAACCAGTACCACAACCACCACTACACCCAGTACCACAACCACCACTACACCCAGTACCACCCCACCACTCACACCCAGTACCACACCCCACCACTACACCCAGTACCACACACAACCAGCACACACCCCAACCACTACACCCAGTACCACACCCCCCACTACACCCAGCACCACTCACACCCAGTACCACCCACCACTACACCCAGTACCACACCCACCAGTACCACGCCCCATCACTACACCCAGTACCACACCCACCACTACACCCAGTACCACACCCAGTACCACACCCACCAATACACTACCAACACCATTATCACCACCACAACATAATACCACAGGAGACTTTGATTTGATGACACACACACACACACATACACACACACAGTATAAAAATATTGATACACACAAACAGCGTCCCCCCCACACAAAATAAAAACATACACTCATACGTACACAAAGACAGACAGACACACACACACACACTCTGGCTCACAGCTTCACAAAATTGGACTCCGAAAGGCATATTGATTTTCGGGGCTTCGACGGGAGCAAAAAAGGACCCGAGAGACACTTTTAAGAGAGAGAGAGAGAGAATATGGGCAAACGAACTTAAGTGATTGACAGACAGACAGAGAGAGAGACAGACAGACAGATACAGACAAACAAACACAGACAGACAGTAGTAGAGAATAATATGCAAGGTGAAGTAACTCCTCGACCATTGTACAGGTGTATTTTAGGTTGTGTGTTTAACTTGTTGCTTGGCCGATCAATTATTAGCATCCTCTCTCTCTCTCTCTCTCTCTCTCTCTCTCTCTCTCTCTCTCTCTCTCTCTCTCCTTTTCTTTCTTTGTATTTTTCTCCTTTTCTCTTTTATTTTTTCTCTCCTTTTCCTTCAATAGTCCTTTAAATATTAGCAGTCGTGTTGATCCCTGCTCAGAGGAAGAGGAAGAGGAGGAGGAGGAGGAGGAGGATCGTGAATGAGCAAGATCAAAGAGAAGAAGAAGAAGACTAGGAAGGCAGACCAAGGAGGAAGAGGAAGGAATACCAAGAAAGAGCAGGAGGAAGAGGAAGGAATACCAAGAAAGAGCAGGAGGAAGAGGAAGGAATACCAAGAAAGAGCAGGAGGAAGAAAAATAAGACCGTGAAGCAGGGAGAAGAGGAGGAGGAAGAGCAAAGAGGAAGAGGAAATAGAAAGAGGAAAGAGAAAGAGGAAAAGTGAGGACAAAGGACAGAGAGTCGAGCTGCCGCCACACTGTCTGAAACACCCTAACACTGTACCCCTCCCTCCACCCATCACCCTTACTCCATCCTGTCCCATCCGTCCACTCCAGGGCCCTCCACCCATAACCCTTACTCCACCCCACTCCTTCTTCACGGCCTCGATCTTCCCCCCCTTCCTTCCTTCCTTCCTTCCATCATAACCTAACCTGCCTCCACAATCCCCTTCTCCTACAAAGGACCTCCACTCAATCCTGCCAAACCCGCCCCCTCCTCTGAGAATATTCCACTCCTACTCCCTCTCTTCCCTCTCACTTCCCCCTTTTTACTCTCACCTCTCCTTTTCCCTTCCACTTCCTCCTTTCCCTCTCATTTTCCTTCCAAGGCATTCCACTATCTTCAAACTAGACATGAGGCAGATTAAGACACGAGACATTTAGACATGAGGCAGATTAAGACACGAGACATTTAGACATGAGGGAGATTAAGACACGAGACATTTAGACATGAGGGAGATTAAGACACGAGACATTTAGACATGAGGGAGATTAAGACACGAGACATTTAGACATGAGGCAGATTAAGACATGATTAGTCGTCACCACAACAACCATCCCAACTACTATCAGGACTACAGACACCCTTAACCACCATTTCTACCACCACTACCGAACCCCACTCCCTCTTACCACCATCACCACTTCTTCTCTCCCCCCACACACCACCTCTTCTGTCCCTCACCTCCACTCTTCCTCCCCCCACACCTCTTCTGTACCTCACCCTCTCCCCCGCACCCCACCTCTTCTGTCCTCACCCCACCATCCCCTACCCCTCACCACCAGCTCTTCCCTCACCACCCCCCCAACTTCTCAATCTAACCCCTCCCTACCCACCCCCTCCCCCCCACCTCTTTTTTTCCTTCCAGACGCTCGCCACCTGATTCAAAGCTCCCCACCCCCAACGTCTCGGGCTTAGAGTGCCACAAACAAACAGGCGGCACCAGGGGCCCCTCGTTCCAGGAGGAGTTCTTGGAAGACGTCTTGTGAGGAGCTGGATTCCAGGAAGGTTCTGTTGTGCTAGTTTTACACTGCGACGCACCAAGGAAAATAATCAAGACCAATTTAAATAGACCCTTTCCTGTTTTTGTTTTCTTTTTCCCTCTGTTACTTTTTCCTCGTTTTCCCCTTTCTTCCTGTTATTTTGTCCTTCTCTTTCCTCCTGTTATTTTGTCCTTCTCTTTCTTCCTGTTATTTTGTCCTTCTCTTTCTTCCTGTTATTTTGTCCTTCTCTTTCCTCCTGTTATTTTGTCCTTCTCTTTCCTCCTGTTCATCTTTCTTCTCCTTCCTCATTATTATTTTTTTCACCAATTTACCTGTTATTTCCTATTTCCAATTTACGTAACTTTCTCTTCTCTTGGGTCTCTTATTATTATTATTATTCCCTTCCTCATTATTTTTTACCAATTATCGTATTTGTTTCTTTCTATTTTTATTTGTTCCTCGTTTATTCTCTACCATTAATCTTTTCCTTCTTGTTCTCTGTCTTTCTCCCCAATTCTTATTTTCATCTTCATATATTGTTCTGATTATTGACTCTTCTTTGTCGTCATCTTTATCATCTTCTTTCTTCATAGCCATATTCTTCTGTTTTCCTCACCTTTCTTTCCTCTCTCTAATTATCAGGTTTGTCCCTTCTTCCGTTATCCACTTACTCTTACGACCTTGAACTTTCCTTTCCTCAGTGTGTGTGTGTGTGTGTGTGTGTGTGTGTGTGTGTCACTCTACACACATACATAAAAAACTGAAAATAGTCGAACACAAAGAAATCTCTCTCTCTCTCTCTCACACACACACACACACACACACACACACACACATATATACTGTACACCGCGTTTCCTGACCAGTCTAATAGATGTTTTTAGTTCGATAGGAATGTTTTCTTTAACTATGCAATAACGAAGTGAAATTGTACATAAAGGAACGTATCAAATTGTATTATTATTTTATATTATTACACATTTTAAATAGATTATATGACACATGTGAAGGTAAACATGTAATGAGGCTTATTATTATTTATGATGATGATGATGATGATGATGATTATTTTTATTTTTATTATTAACACTGATCTTGAAGCCCCGATTCATACAAGCATATTTATCTCATTAATATATATTCATTTATTTTCTCTATGTTCCTATTTCCTGCCCCGAAAGATATCTTGCCTAAGCCAGCAGCCTCCTCCAGCGTCTGGCGGCAGGAGTATGCTAAGCGACGCCCGTCATGAAAGTCGATAATCTTGCCCTAATCAAATGGGGAAACGGACCCAAGAGTTGGGTCTGCCGTCTAGGTCTTTCTTATTCTTAGGAGACGCTTGGTCCAGACGTCTTGCCAGAGCTGCTACCCTCCCACACGCCAGCTCTCTCACTCTCTCTCTCTTCCTCTCTTTCTCCCCGCAGGACCAGCTGATTTGTGGTCCAGACCCGTGTAATTACATGTCTGGATCTCTCTATCTCTCACTCTGTCTCTCTGTCTTTGTCTTAGGTGTCTTTCTCTCTCTAATCTCCCTCTCCATCTCACAGACATTGGTATCTCTCTCTCATCTC